GACGGAGGACAATTGCCCACTGCCGCTGAACTACTTCACCAAGGACCGCTACACGAAGATGGGAACCAGTTTGGTTCGAGACAGGTGGACAAGACCTACGGTCAACAAGAAGCTGAACTCCAAGTTCTGGACAGGCTATACGCGCTTCAAGCTGGCACCTTCCTGGCGCAAGACAGCTCAGAAGCTCTATATGGAGAAGAGCGACGGGAAGGAGACCATGTTCTACAACGAGGACAATGTCAACAGCCAGACCACCAGCAATGCGCCGGTGACCGAGCGCAACCTGAGCTTGGACGACCGACTGACCTTCATGGAGGCCAAGAAGAAGGAGCTGGAAAGCTTTTTCAACAACGAAGTTTGGCTCTTTGACGATGCGTCAAATGCGCCTGTGGAAAGGGTGCTCAAGGCAAGGTTCATCTTGAACTGGAAGAAGAACGAAGATGGAACCCCGAGGGCAAAAGCCCGACTGGTGGTACAGGGATTCAAAGACCCTGATGCCTTGGGTGGAACTTTGTCGACAGCGAGCCCTACTTTGACCAGATTGTCAAGGAACTACATCCTGACAGTAGCCACCATGATGGGCATGACTATCTTCACCAGTGACATCTCAACAGCCTTCTTGCAAGGCAGAAAATTCCCCCCTGAGTCCAACAGGACCATTTGGGTGAAGCTTCCTCGAGATGGCAAAGCTCTCTTGGGCCTACCTCCAGGCCATGGCAAGTTGATGAAGTTGGTCAAGCCAATGTACGGCCTGTGTGATGCTCCAAGAGCCTGGTATGAAGAAGCAGCAACAAGGATTCTCAACATGGGCAATGGAACCATAGTGCAGCATCCGCTTGATGCCTGCCTCTTCCTGGCCTACGACCGTCCAGTACATCCTCCACCAGAAGATGGCGCTGATCCACCTCGACTTCTGGCGCTCTTTGGCATACACGTTGATGATATCTTTGGATGCTACATGGATGATGCTGAGACCGAGAAGCTGCTGAACAACCTCAAATCCATTTTCACCTTTCGTGAATGGATCACCAGCAATGACAAGAACGAGCTGGAGTACTGCGGGGCCCAGATCACCAAACTTGGTGACAACCATTGGAAGATCCACCATGAGAAATACCCCAAGGAACGACATGGCTCAAATGATGAGGTCACGGACCGTGAGCGCACATCCTTGAGGGGATTGGTTGGTGGACTTCAATGGCCCGCAACTCAAACCAGTCCCCACCTACAATGTATGGTGTCTACCTTGGCTGGACAGATTTCAAAGGCAACAACATCCACCTTGGACACCGCCAACAAGTGCCTACGTTTTGCCAAGCAGAACCAAGATGCAGGTTTGGAGTTTAGGCATCTTGGGTCCAAGGATGAGGTCACCTTTGCCTGCTACTCCGATGCCTCATTTGCATCGCGAGATGATCTTTCAAGCCAAGGAGGTTACCTTCTCATCATGACGCACCGTGACGTCACCAGTGGTGGAGAAGGACACTACAACATTGTGGACTGGCGCTCATGGAAACTGGCAAGGGTGTCGAGATCCACTTTGGCTGCGGAAAGCCAGGCAGCATCAGAAGCTGCTGATGCCCTTCTTTTCGCCGTGACCTTCTGGCGATTGATTTGGAGCCCCTGGCTTCCTTTGGATGACATCCGCACTGCCCAGATCCCCAATCAGCCGAAGCTTGTGGTGGACGCAAAAGCTTTGTTTGACATGCTTGTGCGAGAAGAGATTCAAGCTGTGAGCTCCACGGACAAGCGAACTGCAATTGAAGTTTTGGTAACCCAAGACAAGTTGCGCTGCTGCAATGCAACAACAATGTGGGTGAGTTCGGAGTTGCAATACTCAGATGGACTTACAAAAGCCAGTGCAGCCCAACTTCTTGCAGATCGATTGAGGAGCCACCTGACCCGCTTGAAAAGCGATGAAGACTTTGTAGCAAGCAAGGAAAAAGTCAGCAGCAGAAAGAAAGAAAGGCACAGAGAAGTATGCAATTCGAAAACCTCCAAGAACGGCAACAGCGACTATGTTTGCAGCCTTCTGCACTTCAGCAGCCGCTGCAATGGACTTTGACCTGAACGAGACCTATGCGATTGAGAACAAGACCACCAACAACTACAACCTGAACTACCTGGACTCTGAAGGCGAGCTCTTCACCACGATCATGGCCATTGTCATGGGCTACTTCCTGGTGATAGGAGCGATTGCCACCTGCCGGTGGATGATCTCTTTGCCACGAAGGGCGCTGGCAACTGTCACTGCACTCTGGAAGGACAGCAACCTCAAAGAGGCGCACACCCCAGAGGTCAGTGAAATGGCCACACAGACTGATGACGATCCTTTGATGGATGACTTGCACGATCTCCTCAAGCAGAAGTTGACCCTGGAGGCATTACTGGATGAAGCTCAAGACCAGGTTCGGAACTATGAGCGTTCCAACGAGGACCTGCACACCATCATAGGCGACTTCAACCATAGCCGCCAACGGACGATCATCGAAGCTGCCCAGCAGGAGGTCTACTTCACTCCGTATGGGCAGGCGTGGCATGCCAACTATCAGTGCTTGCGAAATCGCACTACTGGGCCGATCTACCATCGAACTTGGTGCACTCACTGCCTGCCGCAGCTGTGCGACCCTCGTGAGATGAATCAGCCCCAGCAGGGCCAAGCCCCATGCAGGGTGCGTTTTAGCGATGGTTAGAAGCCACTTTTCTTTTTCACCAACATCATTTTTCACCGGTGTGAATTGTGCTCCACACATTCTGGCACATTCCATGGTGGCATGAGCATTTAGCAATTTTCCATTCCTTTTGGCCATATTGGCACAATCTCCCCCTAGGGCTAAGGGATGCTTAAGCACCGAGTCAACTGACTACATGTCCTGCTGCCCCTGCGAGAAAAGGGTGGCGCATCGCTTGCTTCTTGCTGCACTTAGCGTGGCAGCCTTGTGGTTTGGTCTTTGTGAGCTACCAACCAACACTCCATTTATAGATGATGTTCCCCTTACAACCTCCATATTTCTAGGGGATTTTCTCATTGGAACCTGAATTGATCAAGGATTTTCCCCGCTAGAACCCCCCATAGAGTGCAGGGATTTTCCGTTGCTTGGTGAAGTCCGAGGCCTCGCGGTGGAGGTGAGGTCCATAGCACAGCTAAGCTGGTGCTGCTCTGTGCCAGTGGCAAGGGAGGTGTCTGTGGCCTCAGATCCGAGCCTCTGTCAGGTTCATGGCACATCATGGCACCAATGGCACCCCTATTGATTGGTGATTTCAATATACCCTCTGGTGATTTAACATAACCATGGAACATCACCATGTTTAATAGGTAAACCATCTATAAATGGACAATTTTCCATGGCCATGTTAAATAACCAAAGGGTATATGTTTTTTAATAGTCACCTCCAAAACGATAGAACAGCCATGTTATCTATTTTGGTGGGATTTGACCAACTTCTATCTTTTTGGGGATTGCTATCATGATTGTAATGGAGGTTTAGGAATCATTTGTGGAATTGTAACCATGAAAAACATATGGGGATGTAGTTTTTATTGATAAATGATGGTTGATAGGTTTTTGTAGGTGAGAATTAACCTACCCGGTCTATTAGGGATGATATAGTTCATTACCTATTAATCAATCAATACAATGGAAATTGGACAGTGACATTTTTCAGGACTCGCATGACCAGTGTTCAACCCCCCTTGTAGTTCTTTTGCATTGATCATGCAGGCGAGTATATATAGATTATATAGGATTATCATCATCCATTGTTGGAATCTATATTCAACCACCAGTGTCATTGAATGACAGAGGCTTTTGAACCTTGCTCAACTAATATGGTAAACAACAAAAGCACAAATCCATCAATGTTCAAAACAGTGATGGTCTAAAGATGCAAAAACATTCTCATTGGAGGTTGATTAGTACTATATACCATATTTCTTATGTTGAAATAGGTTTGGAAAAACAAGAGTTGTGTCAACCATGCATTAATGTTGACCCCTGGGCTGTAGCATCCAGTCACAAATTATGTTTTTGAGGGCTTCACCCTTATGAATTCCACCTGGGTTTACTGATCCAGAGTTTCCGTGACTGTATATGTTTCAAGTGTCTAAGTCTCAAATTCGCAGTACAGTATGTGACCTCACGGGCGGGCCTCCCAAACATTTTTTTTTCTCAATGGTTTCCTTTATGAATATAATTTAATATCAGTGAAATTTGTGAAAGGCGTTTGTTTGATGAATATAATATAAGTGTATAGTCAGCAGCAACAACTTTAATTTCGGTTTGTACAAGTCCACGAAGCCCTAGAGAAAAGGTTGGATGTCGGCCCGGAGGTTGGGAAGTCCACTGTGTCAGTGAATTTGGCCTACTCGCGGCATGGCCAAATTGGTGTACGGACTTGGATATCTTGGATGAAGTTCAGCTGGGAATAGCCTTTTAATTGATCATCCCTTCCCCCTGATATGAAACAGCCCCCAACGAAACCATAGTTTAGTAGGCAAATGTAGGCAATTTCCACGTAATTTAAGGGGGTGTTTAATATTAGGGGGATGGGATTATATATTTCGAATTATTCCTCCAGAATTATGATAGTTGTCCCTATGTTTGCTGGTTCGAACATTACTTCAGGATTGTTCAACAGAGTTTCATTTTGCAACATGTTGATGTTTACGCTGAGACAAAAAATTGTCATCACCATTCTTGGCTCAATATATGGGCGAGTTGTGACTCCACTGGGTGATCTCTCGTGTGAGTTCAAAACCAAGGTTTTTCCCAGTTTTGGTCCAAGAAAGTCGCCACAAGAGCCTGGTTGGCATCTGTGGAATATGACATTCACTCTCTATAGCCGCTCTTACGACCTGACATCAATTAATCAATCAGATGGGTCAACATCTATTATTGCTTGCATATGATTGCCATATGAATAGGTGATGACCGTTCATAAATCAATCACTATTTCAATGTGAGACGCGGACAGCCTGAATGACGACTGACTTCGCCAGGATGAAGCAAATGGGCTTCGAGGCGGACCAATAGGACATAGTAGTCATTGATCAATGATTCATAGTTTAATAGATATTTGACACAATTGAACATACTTGAGCTATATGGTCGATGAACTGTAATTGGATTACGAATGATTTTGAGTTGTTTGAGGGCAATATTTGAAACCCAGTTGTAGATAGCCTCATTAGTTAACTCAAACTTGCCATGAGCAACAAACATATATCGTCCCTTCGCTGACATGTGGGCACCCAGAAAATCAGCGGAATCGAGTAGCCGACATGTGAGGGAGATTCACTTGCAAATTGGACTTAGAGCCTTCATTCAAGCCCCAATTATCCTAGCTGCACCTCCATCAAAAAATCTTGTGCTACGTGGATACGGCCGACAATCCCAAGATGGGACGGCGAAGTTCAATCATCTCGAAACTGACTTTGTATGAAACGCAGACTGAGAAATGGCCACACTGCAGATTTGAGTTCCAGACTTCCAGTCTCAATTGTGACTTTTGTATACCTTTGTGACATTTTGTGACCAAGTCTGGCAGGTAGGATTGCTGGATTTGGACATTTATGGTCCTTCACTTCCTGAACTGGTGCGGTGGGGAGCCTGGACATGGCACACGGCTGGACACCCACAGACCGGCTTCAACTTTGGTGGCTTCAAATAGGTTGGATGATTCCAGCTGACTTTGTTTCACTTTCATAGTCTTGATTTTTTGTTTCACAAATCACAGGCTTGCTCCAACCTATTGTTGCTGAATCATAGCCACGAGAAATGGACAAAACAAGGCCAAAAAAGCAACCCAACACTGAGCGAAACATGAACTGCCATCGACCCGTTTTGTTTTTTTCATGTCTATCACTCTCACAGGAACACATTTCTTGAAATGTGGGGATCATATGTTTTGTTTTCCCAAAACTTCCTTGCTGCCATTTTAACTTTTCAAGCACCATTAGGATCGTAGCTATCCCGATAGTGGGAAGCAAATTCAAGCCATGGCTGCTGAGCAAAAGTTATCGACTCTTGCATTCTTGAGATGTTTCGATTTTGTCATAGTCTGGATATATAATATATAGGTAAACCTTGGCTGACGAACATATCATGTTTAATTTACATCTACAAAAATACAAATAATTATTCATACGTGTCTGTTGTTTCGTGATAAATGCGGGAATTAATGCATACATTCCTTGCCTTTTTTTTTCCAGGGCAGTTTTGAGTTGTTGAAGCCGCCAGGTGGTCGACCAATTTTCCCCATGAAAGGGTTAGATTGGGGTTCCATGGGGGCCCCAATTTTGGCCCCCAAAATTCACTGCACTAACCAGGATCAGTGTCAAGAATACCTTCCTCGACTTCCGTCCTGAGGAGGACAGGTGTCCCTGGTATCCCTGGTATCCCTGGTGCCTGCTGCTCTTGATGGGCCGACATTTGTCTGTTTGAAAAGCACGACTTTTACATGTTTGACGGCGTCAAGTCTCAGGCAACCTATCTGAAGCGCCTATGAATGAAGTACTATGAGGTGCCTCAATGGAGGTTTGAATTGGCTTGTAGGAGATCAATATCCCACCATACAATGGGCAACAATTCATATCATCAAACCATGCAGGTCCACCATTGCACAACAACAATACTTACTAGCCGCCATGACCTTCACTATCCTTCGCTTCCAGGAATCCTTGCTTCCCATGCGTATCACTGTGTTGGGTCACCATGGTTGCCAGTACGATTCCTGTATCCATGAGGAGTGGGTAATTCAGGTAGTATAACAAGGGAGAAATGTATAATGAACCCACAAAATGTGACGTTCGGAACTCTCTCTCTCTATATATATATATATGTTATCATTTAATAATGATATATTATAAATAATTAATAGGCAGCCCGTGACAATTTAGGACTTTGACCCAGTTAGTTTGTCCTGTTGGGACCATACGATCACAAGCAAGTGAGCAAGTGACAATATCAGGGATGGCTCTTTTTGTCAGCCACAAACATCACAGGAGGAAACTTCCATGCGTCGCAGCAACAGTTGGTCTTACGCAGAGAGGTCATGGGACCATCAAGAGACACCTGACCACGGCTATGGAGCAATGGAGGAAATGGAGATTGTTGAGCAGATGGAGGTTGTTGAGAAGGTGGAGATCGTTGAGACGATGGGGGCCGTTGAGGAGCCGGTGGGAGGGGCGTTAAGAATTGAGTCCAGCACTGCTGCATTTGAGGGGAAACAGCTGAAAGGCGGGCATGTTGCTTCCGGTATGAATCAGATTCTTGTTCAAGCACAAGTTTGCTACTTTTTACTTCACTACATGTTTGCTCTGGATATATTCCTTCAAAAACTTATCAGTGATAAATATTGGGAGGTTTCTTAAACGGTTTTTTCCCCTCAAATCATCCATGTTTTTATGGGGTATATCTTCATGGATTTCCCATTACAAACCATCCAGCTATTGGGGTATCCCCATTTACGAAAGCCCCCAGCGGCCCAGCGCTAGCCTGGACCAGGAGAAGGCGGACCAAGAGACACAGCCAGCGCTTTCTTCAGAAGCTGTGTCGCAGGTGTGACCTGCGGTGCCCGGATTGGATCATCCCCAAAGTGGATGGGTAGTTTCATCATGCCTGTCATGTTTCATCCTGCTAAGTTTTTGCTATGTTTTTGCTTGAAATATCTATAAGGGAACATCAAATAACATCAAATAACATCAAATAACCATAACCAGCAATTTAGATTGACCCTGGGATCATCGGATGAAACTCTTGCAGGTACGCTTTCCGTTTCACCGTTTTTCACAAGATGGGAACTAAATAACAAACTTCAAGAGATCTACCAACTCCCCATGTCTTATCATGTCTTGTTTCGTGCTCCTGGAGGTTTCGACTATCCGAGACGACAAACCCTGTGTCTACTTCATGAGCCAACGTGGATGTGATCGGATGTGCGGTTGGTCTCACTCGTGCCAAGAACTTCGTATGCGGGGGAAGCTGCCTTGCCTTTGTTTCAGACGAGTTGTTTTTCTTGTTTACCATCTGGTTATTATTTAACATAGCCATGGAAAATGGCCCATTTATAGATGGTTTACCTATTAAAAATTGTGATTGTCCATGGCTATGTCAAGTAACCAAATGGTATCAAGTTTGATGTTGACTAAATAATATGTTTTGTTTTATGTTTTATCAACATTGATTTTGATTGATTTTGAATGATTTTGACTAAAGATTTTGTAGGGTGCTAAGGTCCCCCAAAAGACTTGCTGGTCCAATAGCACAAAAGCAAGTTGCCTGATGATTCCGATCGGACCCTCTTTCCGGGGGTTGCTCATGCGATGTCATGAGCCATACCAGGCAGCATGACTCGTTCAATCCCAGGAAGAAACGTCCCTTGAAGCTAACGAGAGACAAGTACAAAGAACAGGTTCGACGTGCTTTGGAGTTGGAGGTGCCGGTACACCGGCAGATGAGGGAAGGATGGACATTTGGAAATGTTCGATAGTGTTTGGAATATGTATATATATATTTATATTAGATATTATACACATAATTTTGAATATTTTTGATAAGTTGTTGTGTATATCCAAAGAGATCTGGGAAGAATGTGTTAAACACGTTTATAAAGTCATTGACGGACATTTCAAATTGTGCAACAACAATCAACGGCAGATATGTAGCTGTTGACCGTAGGATCGCATGGGTATGTTCCGCAATATTGGTTCGACGCTATGAGAAGAATAACGCAAAGTCCTTGTTCGAGGAAGGGAAACATCTTCAAAGAAAAAAGACCGGAACAGTCGTTACTTTTCATTCAGCTGCCTCATCTTTTTGGCTGCATTGTATTTTGTCCGGCAACATTTCAGAGGTGGTCCCAAGCTGTGAGAATTCAAGCTGGTAGATATAGTTCCCATCCTGGGGCATGATAATCCCAATAAACCAGGGATCCACGCCCCTGTACTTATCAACCGTGAGCCAACCATGACCGACAGCAGGAACCAGAGCGCCAGAGCGAACTGCAGCGCTTGGTATTGCATCACGCTTACCTTCGGAAGGTGATCATGAAAATGTTAGATGAAGTGCCGCTAGGCGGACAGGTCGAGGATTGAAATTTCAGATAAACATGGATGAAACTTGAGAGGATTGAAATCCGCCGGTGTGATCTGTGTACAATTGTGTACGTATGCATATGTACTGTATATATTGGAAAACATGGAGAACACAAGGTTTTGCGTGCAAACCCAAGGGTTTATTGTTTGATCACGGGTAAACCCACGTTTTTACTTTACCTATCATGTTTTGGGGATTAGAAACTAATGGTAAGTAAATCAACCATATATATATATATATATCTATAATAATGTGTTATGTATGTTTGTCTGTAGAGGGTAGGAGGTGTAGTGGAGAAGTGAGATCAATGATACTCCGCGGAGGCGGGAATGGCCCTTTTAAGGTCCCGAGGGTCTACCTAGGTCCTGGCATGAATCTCTTGCAACCTCGCACACGAATATGTGGCCCTGTTTCCGCCTTGACCTCCCAGACTCCTAGACTAAGCCGAAGATTTGACATCGTATCTGGATTTGTCAAAAAAAGGGAGATCAAACTCTTGCAGCAAGTTTAAGGGGGAAGTTTGAAATCAGACATACCATTTTGGGATATTTTGGGAACCCATGTGTTTGTCATGTTTGGACGTGAGACAAGACTGCTTTGGCATGGTGGTAGTTCTCAGCCACTTTCGGTTGTACCACTTTGAATTAAACTAAGCTCAGGCCGACCATGAATAGCCTTACTGTCTACCCAAGGCTACTCCTCATCCAGAGGACCACGCCCGCAGTTCGGCTGGTCATATCGATGCATTTATAAATGTGAGCCGAATCTGTGTGGTGCGAATATAATATCTATAGTTTGTGTGGAGCGTAAAAATCAATTTGACATAGTTGACCAATGGTATGTGGCAGAGGCCTCAAACGATTCACCGTGATTCTGGTGACTCATGGAAAATCCTCCCCCAGATCTTCACCTTTTGTCCCGCAAAAAAGGTGTACAACTCAACCACTGCGGCCACATGGGCCCCTCATCAATGGGGGATGCTGTCTAAGGGATTCATCACCAGCTAGCCAGTCAGCCCAGGCATGACACTGACGAAGACTGATATGTTTGATGAATGCTGATGACTCATGGCTGCATGTCAAATCACTGCTATGGTACCCGGGAATTCCAACTGGCAGGCGCGACTAGTCCCGGCGACTAGTCCCTGAGAGTGTGGGACATCTCCGATTAATTGATGAATTATATCTTAGGCTCGAGGATGGTGGATTTTCATGGATTTTCACTGAAGAAAATACAGCAACATAGACAAATGACTGAAACACTGAGGAAGTTCGGTATTTTCTGTCCAGTTGCGATTTCTCTGTTGAGCAGCCTATCATCTTCGATCAAGGCTTGGCGCATTGGGCGACTGCGGTCGAACAAATATGAGTGATACATGCTGTACATGACATGTATGGTGATCTATGTTGTATATCTATATCTACTCCCAAACAAACTCTAGAACATTAGCATACAAGCCTAATGTGGCCATCATTGATTTTCAAAACTATATTATATGTTTTGTTGATGTTTTTTTTGATTTTCCATGTGAGTTGACAGTTTGCCGGAAACTTTTCCAACCAAGCCATGGTCGACATTGTCGCCAAAAAAACTCGGCCTGCCACGTTAATTCCTGGAATCTTGACATCGACTTTGTGTCTTGAAATGAGGATGAACCTTTGCTCCGGGAAAACTGGGGCTTTAGTCATCAACAATAGGGATTTGGATTTCTCACCGTGATTTGTTGAATGCGATATTAAGGGTCAAAAGATGGTATGTAGAGATGTAGTATTCGGCCGCCGTCACTTTCAAAAATGTGTGATTTCCTGTGGGGAGCGATAGGGAGCCTTGAGGAGCGATACCCCCTTAAGTAGCGCAAATATGTTGTCATGGCACTTCCAGCTCATCCACTTCCTGCTCCTCCAACCACTACTAGTACTACCACTACTTCTTCCACTACTACTACTACTGCTACTGCTACTGCTACTGCTACTGCTACTGCGACTACTACGACTACTACGACTACTACGACTACTACGGCTACTACGGCTACTACTACTACTGCTACTACTGCTACTACTACTACTACCACCACTACTACTACCACTACCACTACCACGACCACGACCACTACCACTACCATTACCACTACCAATACCACTACTACTACCACTACCACTACCACCACCACTACTACTACTACGACGACGACGACTACTACTACTACTACTACTACTGCTACTCTACTACTGCTACTGCTACTGCTACTGCCACTGCTACTGCTACTACTACTGCTACTGCTTCTGCTACTGCTTCTGCTACTGCTTCTTCTACTGCTTCTGCTACTGCTTCTACTGCTTCTACTGCTTCTACTGCTTCTACTGCTTCTACTGCTACGACTACTATACGACTACTATACGACTACTATACGACTACTACGACTACTACTACTACTACCACTACTGCTACTACTACTACTACTACTACTACTGCTTGTGCTGCTGCTGCTTGTGCTGCTTGTGCTGCTTGTGCTGCTTGTGCTGCTTGTGCTGCTTGTGCTGCTTGTGCTGCTTGTGCTGCTGCTACTGCTACTGCCACTGCTACTGCTACTGCTACTGCTACTGCTACTGCTACTGCTTCTACTACTACTACTACTACTACTGCTACTACTACTACTACTACTACTACTACTATTCCTACCACTACCGCTACTACTACTACCACTACTACTACTACTACTACAACAACTAGAAACTGCTGTGAAACTGGTCTGAAACACCTTCCTACTCACCATCTCAGGCACGTTGCCCAAAGTGGCCGTTTTGGGACTCCAGTACGCAAACAAACATTTGAAGAGAGCAGTCGACAGCCTTATTTTGCCACACTTTCCTTACGGGGAAAAGCTTACGTTCTCTTAATTCACCTTGGGGCTTTTGATTTCCACAACGGCTGTTTTGGAAATCAAGTACTCAAACAAATATTGGAAGAGGGCAGTCGGCACCTCTATTTTGTGACACTTCCCTCAGGGGAAATAAGCTTACGTTCTCTTAATTCACCTTGGGGCTTTCGATTTCCAAAACTGCCGTTTTGGAAATCAACTACTCAAACAAATATTGGAAGAGGGCAGTCGGCACCTCTATCTTGTGACACTTCCCTCAGGGGAAATAAGCTTACGTTCTCTTAATTCACCTTGGGCTTTCGATTTCCAAAACGGTTGTTTTTGGAAATCAAGTACTCAAACAAATATTGGAAGAGGGCAGTCGGCACCTCTATTTTGTGACACATCCCTTAGGGAAATAAGCATACGTTCTCTTAATTGCCGGACCATTTCGAAGGGCAATGGCCGTGTTCAAGCTCAGCCTCTGTTCCGGAAAACGGGCAAAGCCCCGTGAGCGCTCCCAAAGGGTCTGAAACCAGTCTGGAACTGCCGGTAACTGCTCAGACTCTATGCCTCTGTGGGGACAGCGTCATGGCTTTGGAATTGCAGGAAAAATGTGCAGATTGTGTGGCTTGGTTCCCTTATGCACCACTTCGAAACACCTTCCCGCTCACCATCTCAGACTCTACATTCTGTTCTTGCCGAACTGATTCCAGGTCAATTTTTTAATGCCTGTATTTTTGTGCAACCATGCTCATAAAAATCGAATCCAAAACCTTAAAAGTGACTGAAACGCACTTGAGGAGCGATACCTCCTAAACTGATGACCATGGAATCAGTACCATGTTTAGACCGTCGCATATATGATATAACGAACTAACTCAACATATAACATGATATTTGAGATATTTGGGTTTGCCTGAAAATGGGCTATATAGCTTTTCCCAAACCAGCATTTAGCATTTTCAACGAGGAACATGACGATTCATTGATTCATAAACCTGGTTGGATCTTTGATTTCATTTTTCAGAGAAAGGCATCATTATATCTGATATGTAGAGAATCACAGTAACAACCATGATGATGCATGGTTTATCTTGGCTTCCAGGTGTATAGACGTGCCAGAAGTGTTTGGAGAAAGCGCGCGAGCGGCGAGCAGATATGTGATGATATGTGAAAAGGACAAACAAAATAGGTGGAACCACAGTGACATTAAATTTTTGATTTTATTAATTGTAGGATCATGGTCTGTTCAAGTTCAGGATTGCTTATAAGTGGATTGTGGATCATTCGCAGCTCGCATTTTCTTCAAGGCAGACTGGACGTGGCAACCATTATAGATTCCAAGTCGGAGTGAAGAGTCGACAGAGCATGTCCCACACTTTGGAGGCTCCATGGACTTAGGTGACTTATAGGTTCGAGCATAGTTCGAGCTAAGTGGACTTATAAGTTGCTTTAGTACTTCTTAAGTAGTTGTCATCTGGGATAACTCGTATACAGCCTATGGCTATGTTATGTATCGCTAAGGTTCGACATAAGGGGGGCTTAGGTCACTTGTAAGTGGAAGCTATGTTAAAGTGAGAGAAGATAGCTTCAACTTAGCTTGGACTTAGTTTTTGCAAACAAACAACTTTTTCAGTAAGGACTTAGAATTATGTGTCTTTTTGTGAAGTCTGTTGGTCAGTTCTTTTTTGTGTGAATCAAAATTTGGGCGATGGATTGCCGTACGATTGTATACAGTTTCTGGTAGCAAGCCGGCTTCCATGCAAATGATGCTATGGTGTCTGCTGGCTATGGATCTACTGACAAAAATGCGTGCCCAAGCGGCGGCGCAGCTACGACCTGCAAAGGAAGATACCCAATGTCAGGGGGGTTTTGGCTGCAATGCGTCGTCCAAAATGCAATTCGCACATGTGTGCTGAATCTGTGCAGATGTGTGCGGACCGGATGAGGGAAAAACAGACTTGCGTTCATTTTTGTGTGGGGGATGGCAGATGAATATGCAATCTGTGCGCGAAATGTCTGCGGAAGGGACCAATTAGCGAAATCTGATACATCGAATGTGCGTGGATGTGTGCCGCAGTTCCACACCTGAAATTTCGTATTGCGTGCGGAATGTGTGCGGATAAACTGGGAACCCACCCACATATTTTGCGTTTAAACAGCCAATGCGTTTTGTTTCGGATTGCTTGGCCACGAGCCAATGCACCTGCTTCGTGAAGGCACTAGGGGCCTATGGCTACTTCCATGATGCAACCTTTTTTCTCACCCGAATATTCGCAACACTCTGCAACGAAAAAGAAGCAAGCGGTGTCCTGAACCTGAAAAGCTAATAAGCACTTCAAAAAAATCCATGAAATAGTTGAATCCATACACAAATGAAAAACGCAGAAAAACCTAGCAAAAACTTAGCTTCCACTTATCTTCCACTTAGCAATCCCCCAAGTAGACCTTAAGCTAAGTTCAAGCTAGGTTCGAGCTAAGTGACCTAAGTCCAAGGAGCCTCCAAAGCAGTCCAAAAAATGGGAGCAGAGTTCGCCTTGTGCTTCAGATCACCAGTTTTGGTATGGCCCAAAGGTCACAGGTCCCCGACACAGATCATTTCTGTGTTTTTTTTCCCAAGTTTGAATGTTGAAGGACCTGGGCCGGGATCCGATGAAAGTTTTACGAGAGAATGTCATGCCCTATGATGTCCTTTTCCAGGGCGACATTATGGCAGCGCATCCGGTTTCAATAGGAGAAATGATGTTCTTTGCCAACTGTTGGTTCGATCAAGTTTAGAAGTCAAACTTCCGACAATATGGACAGATGAAAAGCACAGATGGGAAGAGTCAGCGAAGAGAAGAGAAGAAGAAAGAAGATCACAAAAGAGAAAGTCTCAGAAGAAAGAAGATCCAGGTGCCCGAAAAGGTAGGAAAGTCGCGAAGCACTGCGTTTTTCCAATGATTTGTGGCTCCGGAGGGTCGAAAAGTAGGCTCGCTAAGTGCCGAGCCCGCTGAGCAGATGAGTGATTAGAAAAAAATGCACGCCGTTGTGGCGCGAAGATTTCGAAGTCAAAATGTACAAAACACACCCCAGGTCCGGACCACTTTTCGAAGTTGAGATGTCGAAAAAGTGCGCGCCATTGTGGTGCAAAAGCTAAAAACACCGCACGTTCGGAGCACTTTTTGAAGTTGAGATGTCGA